TCGTTTTTTGTCCCTGTTGTCTTGGCGTATTACACCATGGCCACTATGATCGATCAAGGCGCTACCATTATGGGGTATGCGCCCGCGATCGCGAGCACCACCGCCGCTGGTCCCGATTCGCTGTCGTGGACAAGGACCTTGGTTGACATTCCAAATTGGTACACTACGGGTACGTAGCGTACCAAACATCTCCCACAAGACGACTAGCCAAACCGAAGGAGCTGTTTAAGTTTGTGACTAAAAGTACGTGGAGGAACCTTCGCACGAAACGGCGACTTTCTTTTAGAGAATTAGTTCTTACATTGGCGATTGAGTAAGTTTTCGCATTTTTTGTTGGCGAAACTGTCCACATCGGCGATGAAGTCGCTTTTCGCGTTTTTGTTGGCGATGCGCTTTGCATTGACGATTGAGTTGCTTGTCCCGCCATCGCTGCCGACGTCTGCACGATCGCGTCCTTAAATCGCGTCTTCAGCTTCGGCGGCAGTAGCAGCCTTCGACACGGCGTTCTCAACTCTTAGGCCTTTCGGTAACGTTGAAAGAACATACTGATAGCTTTATTTTAGCGGACTCGCTATTTCGCAGATTTGACGAAGTGCGAATTTCGGGAAATATTTCGCGGGCGCAATATTTCGAGGTTTGAACAGGTACGCGTAGTATTTATTCCTTATTGCAGGGTAATTTATTTCCGTTATTTTTTTTTTGCGATATTTCTTAAGTCCCGAAATTCCCGAGAAAAAAAAGGTCCTCGCAAAAATTAAGTCGTCTACAGTGTACTTAGAGCAGCTAGTTGCATCAAGAAGCGTCGACAGCCAGCACCATTCCAAAGGTAGCCAGCCTGACTAAACTGCTTCAGCCTAGAGCCTCGAATATTTCGTGTTATTGTGTTTTCCCCCTTGACGTTTTATAACGATTCCTCGGTTGCTTCGAACAACGAATCACTCGGGAAGGAAAACAATGGGGCACCTGGAAGAGGACAGTGCTCGAATTATAAAATAGCTCATACACCACGCCCGAATAAAGTATCCTCGGGGAGAGCTGCGCGTTTGCTCGTAGCTATGGCATTTATTCTTACTGCGCGAGTTGTAACAAGGAATCCTCGTGCCCGCGCGTGAATCCTGACTTAATTTATTTTGAGCGTAGGGAGCGCGCACTTAACGAGTTGTGGTTTATATTGATGCATCGTTTTGTTGACAGCTGTATTTTTGCAGCAAAACAGTAAACTTTCTCCTGTTTGGGAGGTTATCACTCGCGCCTTTCTGCTTGCACAGTGCCGCACAGCAATAAAAGCGCATCTGGAAAGGCACTATGCGGGCACAACAGAGTACTGGCCTCTGCGATTGTACACCCCATAATGGCGGCCGCGGCCCCGCCGGAGTGGCGCACGTGACCACTCCCAGCGAGTGCGCATATTTTGGAATCGGCGTCGCCAGATGGCGCGGAATTGGTAAAAGGGTCTACTGAGGCACATATGGTCACAGCTTTATGGTAAATCCCACTGATCTAGCATATATTTTTTCTTTTTTTTAAATCTTGGATTTTATAATTTGTAATTTGAAATTTTATAAAATATAATATAAATTATATATAATAAAATATGTAATTTTTTTTTTTCTAAACCGCCCTGAAGAAGCAACCACTTTGACTTTCTACCCTCCGCGTTCGGGAGTACATGTTCCGAACTGATCAACATGGCTGTTCACGCAAATGCAAGTACAAACAATGGAAACATCTTTTAGCTTTATGCTATTTTTGAGAGAGTGTACGCGTTCTGAGATTAAAATCTGCTTTTCTTGACAAAAGGGCACCGGCTGTGGCTGCGCGCAACTGATTTTGCTACGGTCCATCAATGAGGCCATGCCGAACTGCTCGCAAAAAGAAAGTTATTCAGTTCAACACTCGGTGTGCCTTGCTTTTGATGGTGCTGTGCGTAACTGATCAGACTTTTACAGTCGATCTGTTATGTGCTGGGATCTGGAAAAAAATGCGTCCATAGATGTTAACAAAAATTTTAAACGGCGCTCCTTTCTTTCCGATTGGTCGTGGCAAGTATAAATAAAAAGAAGAAATAACCCGCGCGAGTTAGCCTTTCTTGGCATTATTAAAGAGTGAGGTCCTGATCTCTTGTTATCATCTACGGTCATCGACTTATCTCAGCTAAGAGTGCGCTGTGACGAAGCTGAGGGCAGAACGCGCCGATCTAATCATCTTTTTTTTTTCGCTTTCGCGATGTTGATAAAGAGACTCGGGCTCAATCTAAAAGAAAACTGTCGTCGTGGTGTGCCTCGAAAAACTGGTTTAAGAACTTGCCCATAAGTGACCATAAGGCAATGATCACTTTAGTCACTAAGAATTGAATAAAGGCAATTAAACAATGAAGTCGTGTACGTGTCTGCATTGCAATCTTAAGTAAATCATATATATGTCGCATAGGTGTCGTAAAGATAACAGCTTCGCTGGTCCTCCGTCTTCACGGGAAGTGGATTGGCTCTACAATATGTTTTTAAAAATCCTTGAAAAGTCTTTTAAAAAGGTTTGGTACTCTGATCTTTCTCGGAGCGAGCTCGTAGCTTTAGCTTGTATATGACTGGTATTTGTAGATCCGACATATATTTCATATATTTCCTTGTTTTTCTCACTTCGGGTATTTTTTGTCATCTAAAAAGTGATAAAAAAACTAACCTTGTGAAGATAGGCAAAAAAGCCTCGAATGAACCTAACTGGATCACTTTGAGCTTACCATACTCCACTTTAAATTCAAAAAGGGTGTTTTGCTAGGTATATTTATTGTGATAGCAGCGTTGCCTGGGGATTATGTATAAACGAATCGTTTTCATTTTGGAATAAAAATGGAAGAAGAATAAATCCGCTGAGGGTTTTACGCAGCATTAGTGGAGTATCCGATTAAAGGCGCAGAACGCAAACCGAGGTTGAAATTATTAAAAAGAAAACCATTTCCTTGCGTCATTATTAAACCTAACCAAAACAAAGCAATATTTTCACGAATGACAATTGATGAGGCGGCGAATGACGGAAGGAAACCGAACGTGTAATGGGCGATTTTGTTCCCAGAACAAAATAGAAGAAGGCTAACGTCGCAGGCGTCGATGACGGCGTAACGCCAGAATGGAACGCTGGGGCGAAACTGACCCAGTACGACGCGGCGCGGCTTCTTTCGAGCCTTCCCTGGGTGCCTAGAATATTATTCCTCGATTGTTCTTGAAATATACATTCTAAAGATGAACAAGCTTGACAGTTATTTACAATTCTTGAATCTTCTACTTACATAAAAAAAGCTAAAGACGACAAGCGGTGGCGGGATTCGAACACCGACCGTCTGCGTGGGAGCCAAGGGCGCGTCTTACTTGGCGAGCGGTTTTCTTATTTATTACTGGCTAGCTGCTTTTTTTTAGCCTACTTGGCTAGCTGCGTATGCGGCAATATTATGAACAAGCGTGTCTGGGCGACCTGCTCCGACGGCTTGACATCCTTCATGATGCAAAACAAAACAAACACTTGGAAAAATCTAGGACTTTGAGCGGGCACCCCGGACGGAGTGTCTGGACAAGAGCGCCTAGCACGTAATTGGTATAGGCCACAAAACTATACTTAAAATTTTAGCATTACGGCTGCAAGGAGAGGAACTAAATAACAAACGTCGATGTTTTTTTTTGTTTTTTTCGCCGAAGTGAAATATTTGCTCACACAGGCAGCCTGCGCTTGTACTTTCGCCGAGCGGTTTGTGTTGTGGTGGGTACGTTAGCGTTCGATTTTAGAACAGCAGACGGCGTCCTCGTGCATTATTACTGCAAATTTGACTGGTCGCTTCGAAGGACTAACCTAAATTACCGATGCAGCAGGTAACCTGTGCGCGGCTCCAGCGACCTAACTCGACCAGGGATGAACAGTCTCTTTCTTTCTGCCCCCTTCTTTCTCTTGCTTTTTCGTGAGAGAGAAATATAGAGAGAGAAAAGTAAAGGAAAATAAGTGGTTTTGCTCATAATATGGAAGTAAGGTTCTACGTTCTTCTCAGCTCTACCGAGTCGTCGTTAGTATTTTCATTTCGAGCAGAAAACTTGCAGAGCAACGGAACGGTACCTTGGGGGAGAAAGAAGGAGAGAGAGAGAGAGAGAGAGAGATAAGAGAGTCCTGCTCGTCGCCACAAAGGAACTGCCGGTCGGTTGCATTTATTTAAATGAAGCGGTTTGCGTTAGACTCGGATTTCTTCACAAAGACGGGTTCACCCCTATTTCGCCAGTGATTAACAAAGCTGTCGTTGGGGATCGCCCAGAGGAGAGTGCGAGCTCTACGAAAGCGGCTCCCGACGCGGTTCAAAAGCGTCACATTGATTCTCATTGAGTTGCTTTCTAAACGCGGAGCACTGCTACAGTTTCAAATAATACTGCAGTGTTCCTCTAGGTGCGCGTGGTCTCATATAGGCTCTTCGAAATCAAAGTCATCTCTCTTCTCAGTCACACTCAGAAGGCTGCGATTTTGAGAAGCGACCCTCGTAATCAGGAAACATTAGGAAAAGCTTAATAACTGGGCTATCGATCTTTCCTTGCAAATGCTTTAATTTTATGTAGAGCATACTGCGGGCCTTTAATGCGCCGAGAAACTGAGGGAAAGGAGAACACGAGATGGCGCGTGGAAGTCAGAACGCCGAGTTATGGTTGGAACCAAATCGTTCCAACCAGAGCTCGGCGCTCTGTCGTCCCCGCACGCTCTCGCCTCCTCCTTCCCCACAGTATCTCGGCATAGAGGCCCCTGCAGGTGTGGGGAACAAAACATCAAACAAGAGCTAACAGGAATGCGTAAGAACAATAGCACATTTCATCCGCTATTTCGAACTCGAATAAACAGGCGCATTCAAAATAAGCACAACGAAAAACAACGTAAAACATTGTACGGCGAGCGGTAGATTAAGGCGCATGCCGGAATGCAGAACCCACACCACTCATATCAGTGCACGTCTGACCGCATTGAATTGCGAAGCGACCTACCTCTGGGAACCAGCTTGAAGAGGCACGGCTTCTTTTGGATGCCCACTTGGTTCTTGGCCCAGCACTGGAACGTGGAGTGCAGTTCCTCGGGCAGAGGCACGAAGGTGAGGACGCTCCTGGAGGCGTACGTGCGTGCCATATCCTCGAAGTTTCTGGCGAAGGCGGTCTCCTTCTGGGCCGCCTCTCCGTCCGCCTTGTGGCTCTCCTTCATGGACCAGCGGAAGGACAGGTTGGTGCTCGGGTCAGCCTCCACGTCGCACGATAGGGACACCTCTTCAAACGGCACAGTGTACACGACCTTGTAGCGGTGTTGCTGCGAGTTGACGCACCGAGGGGAATCTGCGACAAGGGAGGATCCGGTCATCACGCTGCTTTTGTCATATAATGCCACGCGTGTCGCCGAGCGAGCGCGAGCGTGGCCGAATCGTTACCGCGCTAAACTGTTGCGCGGAAGGTCTAGGTTCGCTCCCAGTCAGCGGAATGTTCTTTTATTTATTCTTTCAACTTGGCGTTCTCTTAAGTTCGAGAACATTGTCGTGTGATCGAGTTCCGAAAGTTGTACGCCCCGAAAGTTCTACGTCGAATGCTAAAGGGATTCACGCGGGTACATTATAAGAGACTCCGCATGGCCGAGCGGAGACAGTCTCGCTTCAGCGTTCGTTCCTGCTGTTTCGCCGACATCGACGCCTGAGACGCTAGCCTTTATTTATTTTGTTTTGGGCACAAGTTTGCCCCATTAAAAATCGAGTTTGCTTCAGTTTCCGTCGCCTCATCAATTGTCATTCGTGACAATATCGCGGTGAGAGGCACAATGCGGGTAGAGGCTAAGAGAGAGAAGGAGGTGAGACGACGCGAGGAGGTCAAAACACCGTGCTCTGGATGTAATCATTATTGGGCAGACGCAAAGCCTTTGCCTTTACTCGCTATTCGAACCCGTTCGAACGCCGGCGCCCGGCGCTCGGCGCTCGGCTCACGGCGTTTCTTCTCTAACAGTGATTGGAGACGAAGGCAGCCAGCTTTCTGTCTACCCACGAATCATTCCAACCAAAGTTCGGAGATCTCACGTCCTCGCGCGCACTCATCTCCTCTTTTATTCTGTTTTTATTACCTGTATAAGGGCTATTCACTGGTGGCCATAGCTGAGCTTATGGTCGCTGAACACGTGCTGATGGCAGGCTTCCACGGTGTTTTTGCAACGCGCATTCTACACCACAGTTGTAATTGTGTTATGTGTATGTTTAGACAGCCGCAAGTTAGTCAGCTTCAGTGGGCGTTTGGTGTATCAGTTGCAGATGAGGAATGTAGCCAGCGATCAGCGCACTCAAATATGGCACCCAGTGAAGACCCTGTTTGGCGACGATGGGTTTCTGTGGCTCCCTCTTACCGCTCATTCACACTGGAGGCGGATCCGCGTTCGCAAAGCGGTTGCGAACGCGGTTGTATAAAGATCCAATACAATTGCACGCGCACTTGATGTCATCGTGTGCGCGTGCAATTGCCCTGGACCTTCATATAACCGCGTTCGCAACCGCTTTGCGAACGCGGATCCGCTTCCAGTGTGAATGAGCGGTTATGGTTCCTATTTGTGAGGTCACTACAAAGATTATTGATTGCGAGTGACAATTTCGGTGGTGGCGTAAAAAGCATGGGGCAAGCTTGAAGTCAGAGTGACTTTGAACGAGCACCGTCAAAGTTGACAGTCGGACATTGTTCCTATTTCCATTAATTAATTAGAATCCATCATACTCAAGACGGCATAGCGAGAGTTTGGCTATTCGTGGAAGGCAGATTCACAAGTAAAGAGTGCACTGATGTCTATTGTAGTCAACGAGCTTGAGTAGACTTAAAGTGGTAAACCAGCGGCTAAAAATGTCCCCCCCCCCCCCAGTTGCCGCCATCTTGCCTGTTTGAAACATTAGTGATCACGTAACGTTAAGATGGCTGCGCCAAGAGGTGGGTCAGACCAGATTGGCCAGATCACGGTTAGCAGACGAGAACTCTGGGGCTGCGTTCCAATCTTACTCGAATAGACCCGAGTTATTCCGGTGGATCAAGACACTTGACAAGACAGATAAAGCAATGCTGGACGCGGGTAGGTTTTCGAACGCAACGGCCAGGTACGAGACCTTCACCCAGGACTCAGATAGAAGCCACGTTCGATTTACTTACACCTCCTGCACCGGGGCAGAAAAGTGTAGGGCGGTGTACTTCCGGTCGTATCTCAATATACATACCGGAAGTAGACTGCCCTACACTGTTCTGCATTGGTGCAGGAGGTGCAAGTAAATCGAACACAGTTTCTGTTTCACTCCTGGGTGAAGGTCTCGTGCCCGTTGCGTTCGAAAGCCTACCCGCGTCCAGCATTGCTTTATCTGTCTTGTCACGTGACTTGATCGGCCGGATTAACTCGGATCCATTCGAGTAAGATTGGAACGCAGCCCCAGAGTGCCCATCTGCTGACCGTGATCTGGCCCACCTCTGGGCGCAGCCATCTTAACGTCACGTGATCATGTGGCAAACAGGCAAGATGGCGACAACCGAGGGGGGGGGGGGGGGGGGGAGGGGGCCTTTTCCGCTGAAGGCAGTGTGTTCCGGTTTGCCGCTCTAAGGTAAGACTAAAGCTCGTTGATTGTAATGGGCTGGATCGCGGATCGAGGCTTGTCTTGCTGGTGTCGAGCGGCACCACCGGCAGCCATCGCTTGAGAAACCACTTAATGCATGAGACTCTATGGAAAAAAAACGTCAAAAACTGCAGTTTTCCCCGTTCTTAAGTTGTTGTCGGCACGGAAACGTTTAGGCTGCTCTTCGGAACGCGCGTCAAACAGCTTGTGCACAAACATTGAAACTGAAAGCCCTCACAGTTCTTATAAATAAATGTTTTGTGGTCAAGAGTGACTCCGCTGGGGTAAAAATGTAGTGCTGCTCAATGAGACAACAGTTACCTAGAGTTACCGTGTAGTCGGTGCGCTTTCGATGGGTTGGGTTTAGCAGACGACAAGCTTGAAGGCTTTGCTGCGCGGAATTCGCTCATTTCCAGAAAGCCGCTGTCAAGAGGGAACTTCTTCGATATTCATCAACTTCTATGCTTCCCCGAGGACGGTATTATTGTCACGAAGTTTCTTTCTTTGTTGGTGCTCAAGAAAGTTAGATCTTTTTTTTTTTTTTTTTTTTAAATCGATGTTTGAACGCTTGAGAAATACCGATTTGATCTTCACGTGGATTATATAACGACATTATACAATACTCGCCGTCGAGCACCACGTAGAAGCTTCAGTATTCCTACTTTTGCGCGTTTCTCCCATAAACTTGCGTGTATTGCCCAGTGTCAAGCAATGACGGCCAGTGGTGCCCCTCACAGGCTACCGATCCGTGATCTAGCCTACTACAATAATTATCAGTGGAAGAGTGCGCGTACACACATTTGATGGGCGCTCAAGATAAGCAAGCGCACGTAGACCCTTCACTTGTTCTGAGACAGCTGTCCGAGTGTGGTAACTGTGGCTGAGTGCCCTTGTATGAATGGAATTAAAGCGCTTCGGTGACCGGCACTTTAGCAGGTGCACGCGTGGTTTTAACGCGATGATGTTCGCATTTACATAATACAAAGGCGTTTGGCTTAATACATGTCTCGTGCGCATGCTTGGGTCAGTAGAACAAGTTAAACTATCAAAATTGACAATTGGGCGACTTGGTAAGAGTTTGTCATAACTTACAGCGCGTCTGGAACAAGCACAGACAGAGAAGAAAACACGAAAACACGAAACAAGCACTGCGCAACCAGCGCTTGTCTTGTGTTTCTCCTCTGCTTGTCCTTGTACCGGTCGCGCTGTAAGTTACGATGAAGTTAAAATATCCACACTTTGTGTAGCAAAACAAGTCCACCAGGCGGCGACTCTCAAACTTCTTCACTCTTTGAGCTTCCCTCATGAGGACTGGCGTCAAGGCTCGAAATAGACCCACTACGAAATTCTGCACTACCTTGAAGCTGCTGGGCCACATATCTAAAGCCGCCATACTTCGGGTGTGCACTTCAAACACCTGTACTCGTATTGACACGAGTGCTGCGTCAGCGTTAGGGGTCGACTTGGGCTCACATATATGCTTCCGGCTGGAATAAATGATCAAAATATGTCAGCCACGAATGTTCCTTGGTGGAGCATTGTGAAGGGTCAAGTGTGCGCCGGTTTCTGTAGAATCCGGCGATTGTGTTGAAAAATTAAATGCCTCCTCCTTCCAGATGTACTGCATAAAACACTGACTTTTTTCATATAAACAATTGCTTGCGGAGCTCTGCAAATATGAAAACAGCGCAAAATAATTAACAAACGAGGAGTAAAAGAAGTGCACGGACACAGCGCTGACTGTCAACTGAAAGTTAAATTTTCAGGCGAACCAGAAAATAAACCCCGGAAGAAGTGAAGAACCAAATAAGACATAAAAAGACAGCCCTATAGACAAGACTTCTGCTTAGGGTGACCACCCGTCCAGCGACTCGCGCGACGGTCCCGCAATCAGGGCTCTTGTCCCGCGTCTTGCAAGAAATACCAAAATCTTTAAAATGTCCCGCATTTCATTTTGTCGTAATATTCACTACGCAAATTATGGCGCTTCCGAACAATGGGCCACGGGGAAGCGCGGAGGTCGCTGATAAACTTGTGAATCTCGATGGTATGCCATTTTCTATCCAAGCACTGCGAGAAGCGAACGTCGTCCTTTGTTGCGTATGGCCCGCGGCAGGGTTAAACGCCGTCATGAGTGCGCCCCCCCCCCCCCCCCCCCTGAACCATTTTCTGCAATGTCTGCACCTGGCCGTTTGTTTTCGTCGAGCGCCTCTCGCGGGTTAAGGTCATCTGACTCAGCGAGCCTGGCGTCATCGTCGCTTCGGAAGCACGCCGGCCCAGCGAACGAACCAGACGGGCGCCGTAATATAACATCCGAGCGACGTAAACAACGGCTAAGGTTTCACGACCGAACCACCAGGGCACGATCCGGGGCGATGAGATCATCCGGACGCCTTCATTCAACGTGAAGACACGAAGGGCCGAAAGTCAGCACGTCACGTCTCGGCCCCGGACGGTGTTTTGACCAGCTGCGTGAATTCCAACGAGCCGGTGTTTTGGTGAGACTCTCGGCGCCGTCTAGACCGACAGTGAAGTGTTTACGGCGGCTGAGTGTGCGTAACAATGGAATGTGGGGCGGGATTTGAACGGGACACCTGTCTATGATTGGCCAACCATCCGCCGACGTGGGGGTCCCTACCTAGGGACCTAGGGAGAACCAAGTGTTTAAAACCAGCGAACTTCGACCAGCAAACCCCCTCTCTGTTCTTGAACCAACTG